AATATATATATATGTGTAAAATTTTTTTTTAAGAGACAGCTAAAAATATTTGTCGTCCTCGTAAAGGTTGAATATCTCTCCAATTGGCTTTTATAAATTCGCCATTTATGTCCTTTAATTTTCGAAATTCATTAACCTATAAATTTTACTGATGTAGAATAATTGTACACAATAACATGCATGCAAAAATATATACATTTATACATGCAAACACACATCTTATTATTTCCAAAAATTCTATTTTACAAGTGTCAAATATTAATTATATTAATAATATTAAATATAAAGAATAATTACTATATAAAAACAGATCTTTATATCTATATCTATATATTTGATATAAATACGTCAAATCAAAATACTAACTTGACAAGATTGTATAGGAATAATGACTGGAAATATGATCCATGTAACACATTCCGGATTATTGCCTACGTTATACGATCCATGATATGTGTAATAATATGAACAATCTGTTGCTACCCGCATCCATGATAAACAATCTAAATATTACAAAAATATTATCAGATTTAATATACTACAGTATAATATATATATAATATATACTTAATATAATATCATATATTATATCATATACAGACTTTTTTATTTTGAATATTTACCTGCTGGAATATTTATCTCCGATTCAGCATTCTGAATGTATTTTAGATTTTCAGAGATTTTTTCAAATTTGACGTTGCAACATCCTGATTGGACCTAAAGAACAGAATTATTAATAATGGATAAAAGAAATAAAATATAATATCATCGCACACACATTATACATAAGTAAATAAATATACCAAGAATAAATAAGCTAATACACAAAGACCATCTCGATATTTTAAACATTCTGCAAAAGTGAGATATTTTTGATTCCAATGCACCATATGACATTCCATGGAAAACCTATGTTAATTTAAAAAGATTATATTATTATAAATTTAAATTCATAATTAGAATAAAATAAAATGCAACTATAGAGAATCTTTTTCTTTAAATTAATCATAATTGATAGAGCATTCTTACCAAGTACCATTTATTGTATGTTCAGCACCTCTACAATCATCTTCACCCCAATGAAAATGCGCATTATGAAATTCATACTCGTCATTTATAAGCGGCCCTCCAGATATCATTGATGGAATCCTATCACCATTTAAATAAATAATTGCTAAGAAAGAAGAATTTAATTTAGAATCACGTCCCACAAACAGTATACTGAGAAAAATGTCTGATTGAAAATGGACAAACATTATATCAATCAGAATTCTGGTTTTACCTTAACTAAAATTATAGTAGATTTAAGCAGAAATTTAGCAGATTTAAAATTCTGTTTTGTCCATTTTCTAACAGAATTTCAATTAATCCAACCAAACATTTTTCTCAGTGTACAAAATTTATTTAATATGAAGTACATTACCTTTTATGCCGTCATTACACAAAGTTGCATTTCCATCTTTTAACCAATGGCCATTTAAAATTAATGGTGAAAATCTCTTAGGTCGCACAATTTTGTCATTTAAATCGATAGGTGCTTGACCACTACTTTGCGACTCTTATAAATATATAAGATAGATATAATCTTATAAATATATATATTAATGTGCAATATAAAAATTATCAAATATGCAATATAAAAATTATCAAATATGCATCAAATATAATAAACATCAAATATGCATAACCTGACATTAGGTTATTTCTCATATTTTCTTATTCTTGTTACTTACTTATAAATTCTGTATAATTCGTCATTATTACTTCAATTAAAAACTATTCATTATAGAAGAAAATATCATTAAAAAATTTTTTATAAAATTTAAATTCAAAATTAAACATCATGACAATTAATTTATCTAAATCTAATCAAATCTAATATGTTACTAATTCTTGAAGTTGGTTGATGCATGCAATGCATTTAATTTGCAAATCGAACACGGAAATAACACTTTTGCTCGCAAATTTAAAAATTTGGCTAGATACAGATCTGAAAACGATTTTGTTGAGCTTCCAAAGTTATTATATACAATGTTCAAATTGACTGTTAGAAGATTTTTGCAGTGTTATCATCATATTTAAGCGTTTTACAAAATAATTTTTAGATCTGTATCTAATCAAATTTTTAGATTTGCCAACAAAAGTGTTCTTTCTGTAAAGAGGAAAATGTTTGTAAAATTCCGTATTAAATTAATCGAATACATTCTAAGAAATAAAATATATTCTTCTTAACAGCGCTATTTATTTCAATAACTTAATTGTATAAAGAAAAGATTTTGTAAAAATTGAGTATAATTATTGTTATTGTAATCGGAGTATTTAGTATAATTTATTCTAATTAAAATGATATAGAATGATATATTCACTATATAATTATTTTCTTAATAATGATCTAATCCAAATATCTCTAACATTGGATGCTTTGAAATTTTTATCGATTTAAATGTAATTTGCCTGTTATTATTTTGTCATACATACGTATAGCGATAATCAATTTATTGTAACACTGATAAGATACATAAGATATATTTATATATCTATATTATTGTTAAATAAATTATAACAAAACGTCTGTTAAACAAAACAGCAAATATGATAATAGATTATTCAGAACATATTTAAAACATATATAATTACAGACGATTTAATATTGAATTATTAAAAGATATTATAGCGCGTCGGCTAGATCATTCGTCAATTAGATATTATTCGTAATATTGTCGAATAGTCGAATAGTCGTAAACACATTGTTGATAGCCTTGAGAATTGTTGACGTGACGTACTAGCACGCACCGTATTTACGAGCGCTCCACGAGCTACCATTTTCTAATCGGCATTCGTACTGGCAGGTAGCGTGTCGTTCCGCATTTCTTCATACTTCTTTAATACTAAACGTTGTTATATCTTATAAAATAGTATGTTATGTACAATAATAAATGCTTATTAACTGATATATGGTTAACAGTTCGTAAATGTATTGAAATGTCGACTCTATAATAAGATATATGCATATTTCATGCGACTAATTTTTTTAAAATTGACGACTTTTAAATATTAATTCCTCCAAAGGATTTTACGGCCTTGACGTGGCAGAGAGACTTACAATTAGTATTCCGAGAGGAAACTCGAAAGATGAAGACGTCAATAATACCTGTTGCACTTCGTTTTTTGGTAAAGTTTCTTATTACCAGGGAAAGATCATGCGATCAATGGGATAGGGAAAAGAAATCGAAGGTTTTAAAAGTAGATAAAAATTAAAATTTAAACATTAATTTTATCTAATAAAATAAAGGTATACATAAAAAAAGGGATAAGAAACAAGAAAAGAAACATTTGTGTAGGTATGTATATGTATGTATATTGCGGGTGTTACATAAATATGGAGGCCATCGGGTAGGATTCTTACAAGGGAGAGTGTGAATGTGTGAGTGTGTGTGTCAATCTTTGGTACGATAATTCTATCCGGCAATACAATTAATGTTTTTTTTTTAATTAATTAAAAATTAATTAAATTAATTAACTTAAACTAGTGATGATAAACTAGTGATGATAGAATATTTAATATAATTTTTTAAAATTAACTTCAAAATTTGTTAAGAGTTTTATTATTTGCATTATTTTATTTAGTTTTCTTCGTGTTTAAAAATTTACTAGCTTACGCATTATTAAAAATAAAATCATAAAATTATTGTCACGTGCTCATATCACATTAACAAGTTCTATGTTGCACTAATTTTATAAATTTGTTATTCATACAGATTGTCATTATTGACCCATAACAGTAGTATATTTATAATATGCTGTACTGACTGTGACAAAGCATTCATTACGAATATCAATTCATTACGATTATTCAATATTCTTTCTAATTGTTCTAATTGTTTCTAACATAAATAAAGATTAAAGTTATTGATTACTAGAATAAAAAATTTTTAATAATATTATACTTTAACTTATGCGTTCCACATAATAATTTATATATTATCGCAATAAAATTATTCTAGCCAAATTTTTAAGTCCTTAAACAAAAGTTGTTCTTTCCATTTTGTTTGAAGTATGCATTATTTGCAATTTTTATTATTGCAATGTTATCGTATATTAGAATTTCTTCTTTTGATTCGCAGCCATATATTTTTCATTTACGACAAAATCTCAGTGGTAAAATTTCCGTTTGATTTGCGGTAAAATTTCCGCTTAGTTGCGGTTTCCGTTCCAACTTTACTGAACTTCAGTTTTCATACACAATCTATTTTATTAATAATATACTGATCTTATCTTGCTGACTTTATATTACTTTTTCAACCAATTAATTTCCTAGGTAGATAAAACCTTTTAATTAATGAGATTGAATTTGATATTCTAAAGTCATGGTGTATTTATTGATAAATCCTTTACATAAAATTATTTCAACAAATCGTAAATATTTATTTAACATTAGAAAATACGTCTAATATCTTTTAGTTTCCATTAAAAAATCAACTATTACAGATTTAATGAAAAATGTCAAATTTCTTTTAATTATTATCTAAAATTATTGTTGTTCACAAATTTTTGAATAATATAAAACATAAATGTTTTATAATAAAATTTTACATTCATATATTGAATACTGTTTATTTTTGCATTGACGCTTACTTTTGCATTGATTTTTACTCGCTAAATTACCTTCGCAAATTAAAAAACAAAAATAGTACAAAATAATACAAAATTTTATAAAATATTTAGAAAGACATAAATATGCTTGTTTAAAAGTTAATAATATTATCTTCTTTAGATAAATATAATTTTTTTACATTAGACTGTTTGTTATACTTAAATTATCTTTTTAATTAACAAAATAAAATATTTCGTTTTCTGTCATTTCTTGCAGATCGTACTTTTAGACAAACGCGTACAACTCCTCAAGGCACACCTCAGAGCCGAGCTTTCTCGTCTATGGGATCTCAAACTTCGACACCTAACAAAGAATTGTCAGCTCGTAAATGTCTTCATTTGCTGGAAAACTTGTCTCGAAAGCAGAATCTCTATCCAGCCAGTAATTGCAATCGGCTTCGTTATGTCGGTACTGCTCTGGTTGACTTAACTGAACATGAACCATCCTCCTTGTTACGGCATAAAATAATATAATAAATCATCAGCAATAAAATTATTTCATAAATTATTAGATTAATAATTACTTTTATTCATTTATTTTAGTTAATTGTTAATTCCTTCGGTTCCTATTAGTTATATAATATAATGTAAATGTATACACGAAAAGAATACTTTTACTGGCAAATCTAAAAATTTGACCAGACACAGATCTAAAAAT